CGAACATCGAACGAAAACACAAAAATTGTTGCCCGTTGTTTCGTTTCATCAATTTCTTCTTTTTAATCGTCCGTTGTTCATCGAGTCTTTTTTACGTAATTATAATTTGTAATTTTATCGGTAACTCGGTATCGGTAACTTTTGCCCGTCGCATCGCTCGAAATAATCAAAGAAGAAGCTTCTCTCGTCTGTCAGTTGGGAAAAAATTTCATTCCTTTGTTCCGTTACTTGGCGAAAGAACACGCGTATTCGAAGATAGACACGTTCGTCGTTAGTCGCAAATAAGTGAAATTGAAATTTTTAATCGATCGTCTCGAACGATAGTACAACGGTAGAAAGGTTGGAAATTTCCTTTCCCTTTTCTTTCATTGGTATTTCAAGTTTTTCAACGCGTTTCTTCGCACGACGAAGCAGATACGTGCGTCTATCCCCCTCCTTTCTCCACCCTTTCTTTTTTCCTTTCTTTCTTTTACAAAAAGGCGTTCCATACGTACGTACATTGCAAACGACGAGTATATAAAATTACAGATGTACCACGAGTTTGTACCACGACACGCAAGTCCATGTATCTCAGTTTCAAGGTACAAAATACAATTGATACGAAAAAAACGTTCGACGGTGGCAGTTTTCTTTCATTTCGTCGACAAAAATTGATCATTCCGTAGAACGTGATATCCTACGACATCCTTTTCCGCCAGCAAAACACCCACGCCGCGCGTGGGTAACAACGTTGAGAAAACGTTGCGTGGAAAAAGCGAACGAAGATTCGACGAAAAGTCGGTGAAAGTTCGGAAAAAACTTGGGAAGAAACTTGACGTATAGATAAAACCCGTAAACGGTTGTACTCGTTGACCGTGCACAGAAAAGAACACGAATCGTCATTAACACTAGTTTACTAACCAAATAACTATATTAACGCGTCCAGGTACGAAGTTTGAATTATATTCCAAGAGAGAGATCGTTTTTGTACCAGTTACGTACAAGCGTCGAGTCGGATGTCATTTTTGCGTACGATATCCGTCTATCGCGAGTCGCGGTAGTCGAATAATTTTTATTTTTCTTCCTCGTGCTCGTTCTTCCGTTCTTCGCGCTGCATCTGCTCTATCTTTTTAATCGTTTATCTCTTTTTTATCTTTTCTCTCTCTCTCTGAAAGATACATCTCGCAGTAGTAGTTTCGCAGCTGTAATCTTTCTCAAACAAATTTAGTTTAATTTAGTTTATTTTAAATCGACGTGACAAGATGAAAGAGTATTTCTCACACATTTTTACACTGATTTTTCGAATTTAATCATCTGTTTTTTTTTTTTTTTTTTTTTTTTTTTTACGTAAAGTTGTTATCCTTGACGCTTAGCGTATTCATTCTTGCGACATACTTTCGAACAAGAGTCGTTTAAAGTTCTACTTCCAAAAGTAGTCGGAGCACGTGATCGCCCAAGCGACTAGTTCTTGCCTTTATTCTTCCGTAAAGAAGAAGAAGATTTTAGGATGTTATTGCGCGTGGTTGTTGCGCGACCAAATTGCGTTCTAACGAGTTTAAAATTTACAAATATCGGTGATTCGTTGTAAAAACCGAGTGACCAACTTTACTTTATCGTACGTTGTTAACAAATCGTTAAACAAGTGTCAGCGAAGGGTGAATTGTCTTTACCAGTTCTTTTGATCTATTTATATTTAAAGGTAATCGCTCACTCTCACTCTCTCTCTCTCTCTCTCTCTCTCTGTCGTGCAAATGTAAAGTGTATCTCTACCCACGAGTGCAAAATTTGAACAAAGCGCGATATAATGTGCATGAATGAATTCTGGCTCGTCTGTCGGCGATGTCAAAAAAAACAGTAGACCATAACTGAAAAGTTGAAGAGTCGAAAGATCTATATATATATATACATACACGGGTATACATGCGTATTTATCGCGAAGAAGCGACGCTTGCTTCTCGCAGATAACAAGTGCTTACGCGCATAATCTCCAAGCTGTGGTAAATTTCAAAGCGACGAAGAAAGACAGGAGAGGGAAAAATTATCGCTTCGAATTCTTCTTTCTGTTTTCTGTCTTTTACAAAAATGTAAACTTTCGGTAAACTTTTCGCGACAAATACAACTCCGATTCGCGATCGACGATATTCGGCGACCCGTACCACGTTGTTGGTGCAATTCTCCAAAAATTCATGACACTCGCGACGAAGTGGGAAACGTGATATAGTTTACACGTTCGTGTAAAAATATCGACGATAGCGATAGCAAAGGTGGAAATTTGAGGAAAAACAACGAGTTAATCGGTAGTAGAAGGTAGGGGCTACGTTAATCGCAACAAAAGGGACGAACGAAAGGGGGGAATGATTCAGAAGACGACGACGCGAACGAACGTGAATCGTTTCTAACATTTTACAGCGTTGTCGCGGTGTTACCATGAAAACGCGTTTGCATCGTGTTTACTCTCGAGATCGCAACTGTTGCACGTACAATACACGTACGATATGCGTTCTATTTCACAACCTTGTATTTCAACGCACTTGCTTTCGTCTCGTTTGTCAAAGTTGAAACAGATCGTCGTGTTCTCTTTCTTAGTTTGAATCGTAATCGTAGTCGTAATCGCAATCGAAATGTTATCGTACGCTACTGTATTACGTATCGCGTTTAAATCTCGATAGCTTATTATCGAGAACGTTTCACTCTCGCTGCTAACACATCGATGCGGTTAATCCACTTTTGTTCTGATAATGTGTCTCTCGATGTGTGTAACAAAGATAAGCTACTGCATTCCTGTATATCTACGGGATCAGTGAAATTTACACAGACACACAGTACGGAATAAAATTAAGCACGTCAACGTTCGTCAACATCTCTCTCTCTCTCTATTTTCGAAATTTCGGAATAGTCGAAATCTGCTGTTTTCTCTTTCGACTGTTACTCCATTTGAGAAACAGACGGGTGGTCACAGACGAGGCGCGTCGACGGTCACCAACAACGAACAAACAAGCATGGAAATGGAAAAAAGTAAACAACAGACTGATCCGTGGGAAAAGAAGAAACATGTATTCCTTGGGTGACACGAGTCATGCACGGGCGCGATCGATCTTGTCCTTCGATCTTTCAATCAACAGGATATATTGCGTTTTCGCAGAGTACACGCAGAGTACATCGTGCAAGTTACGTAAAGAGTATCGTCGAAGGGAACATTTTTGTCACCAACTGCGCGGTAACTGCAAAAATTATAGTCACGCGGCAGACAAACGTCCCTGCAAGTTCAACTGCAGCGATCGGAGCGATCGGTGTTCTCCAATAATCTTCCTAAATGTTTCCTACATTTAAGAAGATAGATGGAACAACTACCGTTTCCGACGCAAATGCAATCGCGATTAGCAAGGAATAATTTCCGAATAGTCGTGGTATATCTTTTGTCTCGTCGGAGACCTTTTGTCTCTCGCTTCATCGTCGGAAGAAATCCGTCGCGCGACACGAGTTCTCCTTGCATTCATTCGGACGTTCGTCGCAGTCTAAATTTGTCCGAATTCGTCATTCGTCAGTTGTCATCGGTTTCGTCTCGATCGCTTTACCGTACCCGGTAAGAGGTACCATCGAAGAAGAAAAAGAAGAAAACGAAGAAGAAGCAGAAGAAAGAAGAGAAGCGTCGCGGAAGAGAAGCGCCACCACCGATCATCTTATATACGAGCAAGTGTTACGAGCGTAAGTAAAGTTACGATTATTTACCGTCACGATCGCTACGTGATATATATACAACGCGTTCGATACATCGTTGTCGTTCGAACAACGATCGATCGTCGAATCGAACTCTCGTCGACGAACGTCCGACGATCGAAGAAAAATCCTTCCTTCCAGGATGAATATTCGATGGAAAAGGGAAACGAAAAAATAATCGCATCGTCGATAAAACACGTTTAGTCGATGACACTTAAAATCGTGTATCGGATATCTAGATCGTCGGAATCGTCATCGAGGGAGAAGAAAGGTACGACTTTCGAAGGTCGCGAAATCAGAATGCGAGGAGAGTTATCGGGCGATAATGTTGTCGGGTTGTCGTTTGCTCGACCGCCTAACGACGATCTGTTTTTAGTGCGGTGGTAGTAAGAATCGCGACAACAATTCGCCGAACGGTCGTTTCGTCGTCGTCAATCGCCAAGTAACAGAGAGGAAATTTAGAGAAGGGACGAACGCGTCTCGACGAAACTCGACGAATTTTCGCATTTCGTTCGACTCTCTGTCAGAAGAAATCTCGACGAGTTTTCACAGTTGCTGACAACACGCTGCGTCGCCACCTCGCATCGAAGGTTCGGTCGCAAGAGAATGTCGAAGAAGCAATGGTTGGCCCTGTTGATGCTGTTCTTGACTTACTTGTTGCTGGGTGCTTCCATCTTCTACCATATCGAGAGTCCCCTAGAGATCGAGCGCGCCAGAGAAGCCAAACGCGAACGCATCGAGATCAACGGTGAGCATAGCCGGTCGTGCGATCGAACAACGAACGATTATATCTCGATCATTTAAGAAGATCGATTCAATATCCATCGAGATCGATCGTGTAATTTAACGTTCGTACGCGCAGCAATCGCCATTCGACCGTAGAAAGATCAATACGATCGATACGATCGATGAGATAGAGATACGATAACGATCTATTTCATCATTACCGATTAACATTTATTACAGATTTATTGAGAAAGATTCCTCGAAATCTCTCTCTCTGTCTCTCTCTGTCTCTCTTTCTATCTCTGCCAAACGACAATCAACAGTCGCGATAGAGAACAAGTTCGTCGAATCGGTCGATTCGATACCGAGTTACGAAATCAATAGCGCGCGAGATCACTCCTCGGATCGGCCACTCCTCGGAAAATTGTTCAGCAAATTCATCGGATCCTCCTACGACTTCGTCGAACGCCGCTACAACGTACAAACGATTATTCGACAAAGCTGTCGCAGAGATCGAAAGCGAACAACGCGACGCGTTCACGCTAGTTGTTCTCAACTTTTTCTTCTTTCGTTCTTTCTCGTTGATCTCGCGATTAATTCCCGTCACAACCGTAACAATTTTTTAATCTTTCAAAGACGACGCTTCGACAGACGAGCAACGACAACGATCGATCAGTCTATCTTTGATGGAAACTACTTTCACCGGAAACGTCTTTCGAATTGAAACAACGAACAACAAGTCGCAAGGACGTTCGAATCAACGAGGTTTTACCTTTCTTTACGACGTGAAATTTCGTATCCAACATGTTGCTCGTTGAACCGTTTCGCGACGCGAACTTGTTCGAACACGCGGGTAAATAAAAGTTCCACGACTAATTCGATACAAGCAGAAAACGTAAATGACAAACGCGAATAAAGTGAAAAGATAAGATAACGTTCGTTCGAGAATAGACAGCTCGAACGGAGAATATAAAAGAGCGGGCAAAGTTTAAACGCCGATTACCGCACTCGCGATTTGCGTTTTCTTTTTTTTTTTCTGTCTGTCTGCCGATGGTCTCTCTCTCTCTCTCTCTCTCTCTGCCCCTCCTCCCTACAGTGAATTTTCAAACGTTACGGATATTTAGATGACGTTACGTAGTCGGACCATTGGCATTCAGACTCTGACGCTCGTTGCTCTTTCAGCTTTGCTTCATGCGCACTACGTGCCCAACTTGAAACACGATCACGATGAAATTCTCAGGAAACTGACGCGATATTGCGGAAAATCGGTTTACAATTATACCGAAGGAGAGACGGATCGCCTGAATTGGGATTTTTACAACAGCTTTTATTTCGCTTACACCGTCGTCAGCACGATAGGTACGTATTCGCGTTGTACACGCGTGCACGCGTGCAGGCGCCTTTACACGTTCGCAGATGGAATTAAAAGTTGGAACGAAAGAAATTGCGAGACGAGTAAACGCGCGTGTACATTCACACGACCGCCAATCGGATACCGGTAAATCGACGCATCGA